TTTAACCTCTTCTTTTTACTTCTAGTTGAGCTCTGATCATCCAGTCACTGAAGCCAGGATAAGTGGGTGTTATCTGCAAGTGTGGGTGTTCTCATGCATATGCCCTCTCTTGTTATCAGCTGGACACTTCTAAAGTGATTTTTAAAATATGATTTGTTTTTACTTTAAAAAATTCGTTCTCTGTATTTTAAAAAGTACATAAAGACAGTCTTTTTAATGGATGTAAACTCCATAAACACAGAGAATTTTAACTTCAGTGTTCATCTCTAGTTCCTAGTATAATATTTAGCACATTTTGGACTTATAATGTATATTTGTAGAATAATATATTTATTTACAGAATAAATATTGTGTAGTGCCACACCAGGACACTAGCAAGTTATTTTAATGTACTATCACCAATCTCATTGAATTTTTGTTGTGGCGCTAACTATAAGGTCAGTGGTTCAAATCCACCAACTGCTCCTTAGAAACTATATAGAGACACAGAGTGTGTGAGTCAGAACTGACTCAGTGGCACTTAATAACAACATAGTGAGAAGCTGTCAAGCTCACAGTGATGGAAGTTTTTCAAAATATGCTTTCACTTGAAAGCTTGAATTTCATCATTGATAACACTGTCAGTTTTTTCTCTGAAGGTGACAAGCTCACTTCATTCACTTGTCGAAAAAACATCTATATAACACCATAGTCTGAATAGTTGTCATTTTTTTCCATCTAAAAATAATGTTCTATTTAAAATGTGGCTAATTCACTCTTATCACAGTGTTACTCTAAAAACAAACTACTGGGGAAAAAAGAAACCCAAAGTCTGTAAATATTGTTAAAAGAGAGAGATACCCAGAGAGAAGGAAACGGCAAAAATGATGGTGAAAAAGTGATGACTTAACTGTTTTTCCTTCATTCTCTCCTTTGTATATTTCTATAATGAATAATGCATTTTTAATATAATATAAAATTAAAATGTACCAGAATCATCACTACAGAAAGCTTGTAAGTCCCTCTTCAGCCTATAACTGATTGGAATACCTTAAAGGCGGCTAGAAGTTGCCCAGTGAAAGAGGCTTCCTTTGGAGCCTTTACATTGCACAAGACCATAGGTTGAATCCAGAATCCCATCCAGAACTGACTGAGGTAGGAAATTTACACAGGAAAGGATGAGTAGACTAGCCTAGAGCAGCTAGAAGAACAAAAGATACTCTGTGAAAGAAAGACCGGCAGGAAATATCCAAAACAATAACAGCAGTCTGATTGATTAGTATAAGAACAAGTAAGCTGTTCGCCCAGGAGCCATCAAGGTTGTGGTTGGGACCCCTCAGAGTAAACCCCCTTCCAAGAGTGAGACTAAGGGGAATATATGAGCAGGCACGTGGTCTGGCTGGTGACCACGTTGGTTACCGATAGGCGGGAGTTGGGGAGAAAACAGCAGTGAAGTTGTGAGCTAAGCCTGACCATTCAATTCATCCTGTGAAGCCAGGTGGAGACCTGGGTGGCCAGCAATATGGCAAGACCTGGGGACTTCTGTGCCCAGAGGCAGTGACATGGCCACAGAGGACTAGAGCGGAGAGTGAAGCGTCCAGCAGATAAGAAGTGAGGGGAGATACATAAGAACACCCATACTTGCAGATAGTACCCACTTGACCTGACTTTAATGGCTGGATGATTAGAACTCAACTAGAAGAAGAAAGAAGAGGGGGGTGAAAAAGAGTAACCTGCTACAATTTAATGAACTTTACCTATACTTATGGATGTAGTAGCTCAAAAAAGGGAACAAATCTTTACAGTGAGGATCATTCCCACCGCCTCAGTACACAGGGTTGATAGGAATGGGCAACTTAGACATTGGCTACCCAAGATGGGGTGTGCTATAAAGGCAAGAAGTGACTGGCTTACAAGCTTTCAAGAGGGAGCCTAGTACCTCACAGGGTGGGAGAAGGTAGAATCACCACTGAATGATTTCCAATCTGTTGAGACCGGGCAGGTGAAAGGAAATGAGGATAAGATTCTTATGGTACAATAGCGAATAATTGCCATCAGACTGACTGTGAGGGTAGAAAATCTAGAGGTAAATTTTGACAAAAGGAGGAGAGTGATAGATTTTGCAGCCCAAGAGTGGAGGTCACTGGGACCATCAAGTGAGAAGAATGGAGACTGGGACCTTACTCCAAGCAGCAGTGATGCCAGGGATGGAGACAGATGATGATGTGGACAGATGGAGCAGCTGGGGACACTGGACTCAGGGAGGGATAAGGGCTGTGTGCTGGCGGCTGTGGGTGGGCCTGTATGGTGTATGTACCCTTTGGTTATTTGATGATTCATGGAGGGGATTGTAATCATTGCAATGAAATGAAATACGATAGAATGAGTGTAAAACTGATATTCTTCCATGTAAACCTCACAATAAAAACTTAAAAGTAAATAAGTAAATTAATTAAAATGTAATAGGAGTCCTGGTGTGGTGCTGTGGGTTTATGTGTCAGACTGCTGCAAAGTTCGTTTGAACTGCAAGGTTGGCAGTTCAGGCTTACCAGCTGCTTCATGAAAACCCTATACTACGGGTCAGAACCGACTTGATGGCACTTCACAATAGCATATAAAGATACCGTGTGTTGTCATAGGACACTGTACACGTCCTGTATATGTCTGTGCCTAATATCAAACTGTTATGTGTGGGTTGTTTTTTTTTTTTTAATGTGGATTATTAAGAATAATTAGTTATCTTCTCTATTTCTGATTAGGAATTAGGTCCTGAATATGGAGATATATTTAACACCTCATTGCAGTGGATTTTAGAGAATGGAAAAGATGTTGGTATAAGGTAAAGGAATTGAGTTCTGCTTTGACCATTTTATACGTGTAAGAAATGACTTTGATTTTAAGCTCTCCCTTAATTGTTTTTAAATAGGTGTGTCGGTTATAACCCTGATGAAGAATTGACAGATATAATTGATGTGCAGTTTTTACAATCCACAAGTCCACAGATGTCTTTCTGGTGTCGTTTTCGACGTGCTTTTATTACTGTAACCCACAGGTTATTATTGTTGTGCTTAGGTAAGTTGTTAGGAGTAGAAAGTCATGATTCAGATGTTCTTAAGAAATCACTGCATTATAAAATTTTTGTATGTCTGTATTTTACTAAATGTCAGATTTAAGAATCCATTTCTGTGATAATTGCCATGCAAATCATATCCAAAAGTCTTCATGAAGCAGTAAAAATGGGTGCTGTCCTAACGTATCAGTCTCAGGGCTTAGAAAATAGTTCCATAAGGGGAGGTGGAAATAAAACTTTGTCATGAGACTGTCATATCCAAAGCAGGTATATAGTGCATACATAGAAACCCACTCCAGAAAATAGAACTGGAAGGCATGGACTTGTTTATTCTTTAAATATTAAGATATTTTGAGTTTATTAAAATTATTTTTATTTTGAGGTATCATTTACCTGAGTTAAAATCTTCATCTCGATTTTATGTGATTATTTTGGAGTCTTGGTGTAGATGCTGTAAATAAACAATAAGCCAGCTTCCAGGTCAGTTTGAACTGCACAGTTGGCGGTTCAAGCTCACCAGCCACTTTGTGGAAACTGTGTATACAGGGTTGCTAGGAGTCAGAACCAAGTCAACAGCACTTAACAACAGCAACATTTTATTAAACTTTTCTATTGTTGTTGTTTTGTGCTGTGGAGTCGGTTCTGACTCATAGGGACCCTGTACAGGGTTTCCGAGGCTGTAAATCTTTACGGGAGCAGAAAGCCTCATCTTTCTCTCGGGAAACGGCTGGTAGTTTCCAGCTGCTGACCTTGCGATTCGCAGCCCGATTCGTAACCACTATGCTACCAGAGCTCCTTACATATACATATATATAATTAATAC